CTCCTCATCTGGTACAGGTCTTCTCAGCCTCCCACACCACCCCTGCTGTCTCTATAGCAGTGTGCCCAGGAACAGGCCCTTGCAAGAGCCCATGCACTCCAGGGAAGAGGGCCACAATCCTGACCCCACAGGCAAGGTGGCTGGGCAGCATCTGATGCCAGGATGTGCACAAGAGGGGCAGCATCCTGCTGTCCCCATCCAGTCCTGCCACTGCCATCACTGTGCATTGCACAACTTGGGGCTTTGGAGATGCAAAACACTGTAATCCCCAAGGCAAATGCAGTGCTGCCTGGATAATGCAGTGCAAACACATTAATGCACACCGAAGAGTTAATCTCCACAGGTGCCCGGCAATTTGTCCTAAATCATTGTCCTGCACACAGGAGGTGAGCTCCTTGCTTCAGTGGAGACCTGGACCTGCACCCACCAGCCCTCTGAAAACTGCAGCCACAATCCTAAAGTTAGGACACTGTTTTAGGGGCAGCACTGAGCACAGGTCACTGCCCTGTCCAACAAACCTTGTCAGTCCGGTCCCACTGGACTCCATACTTCCCCCCAAAGCCTTGGGCTGCATCTGTCTGCGAGGAGTGTTTCCCAACATCGGCAATGTACTCATGGCCCACTGCACACTGAGAAGGGAGACAGCATGACATGAGCACCCACAGGCAGACTGGCAGGGTGGACAGAGACACAGGCACCACACAGTTGCTCTGCCCCACTGCTGAGGTGCTTGCAGCCGCAAGGTGACAGGTCCAAATTGATGGTTTGGTGCTGGTGGTGGCGATGCCTTCTGCCCAGCCTTTGTCAGTACCAACTCTGCACTGAGACCTGTGATGAAGCTTCAAGGGCAACCATCACACACAGCTGGTCCCACTGCCAGTTCATCATGCACACCGTGGGATTCTGAATACCTGCTGCTTCCAAATGCCAGTGGAGTAGAGTCATGGACAATCACATGGGGAAACTGAGGCAGGCACAGCTGAACACCCACAGGCAGCAGGGCTCGTGCCTGCTCCCTGTCTGAGAACGAGGGTCAGAAGACCTGGCTGAGATCACCCTTTATGCCTAACACAGGGCAGGCCAGGGTCCCGCTGCTCCCTGCCAGAGGTGGCATGGCCAGGAATTGCTCACACTCCTCGGGAAAAGGGCCAGACTGAATGCTTGCAACATCCTGGTGTGAGTGGATGAGGACTGAGGAGCTGCTCAATAAAACCAGCCTCACTGCTCCAAGCAGATGGGTCTGAGCATGGCTGCTCCATTTCTGCCTCCTGGGAATGCCTGTTTCTCACCCTGCCATCCTAGCATCATGCATACCCACAGCAACCCCATATACTGAATGCTACTGCAATCTTATCATCTCACTTCTAAAAATAAATAAGCATTAACTGCTGAAAGGTACAGGAAGAAGCATGACGATCAGAAACAGAAACCAGATGTTATATGAGAACAGAGAATATGAACTAGGGCTTCATCCTGGGGAGGTATGACAGAGGTCTGCAGTGGAGAACATGAGGAGAGAATTATTACTCATTAGTTCTCCAAGCACAAGTAGGGAAGTACCTAATTTCATTGTTATGCAGCAGGCTTGAAATGAGTCACAGAAAGTCCTTCTGCACAGCTAAGGGGAGTGTTGCAAGGAAGTTCTAGAGACATATTACACAAATGGGTTCAAACAGATCCTGGAGACAGATAATGGGCCAGCTAGACATGTGCAAATGTGCTCAGCCATGCCATTCTCTCCCATTCAGAAAACAGGGATGCTTTTTCCACTATGAGAAGATGACTTTTCCATTGGGGCCCAAGGAAGCCCTCTGTTACCTTATCCATTCGGTCCCTCTCTGTTCCAAATTTGCCCCCATAACCATAGGAGGCATTGGGGCCAATCTCCAGCTCCTTCTTCTTGATGACTTCATGTTCCTCTGACACCTTGTTCCTCAGCTGATGGATGCTGGTGAGATAGAGAGAGTCAGGGCAAATCACTGCAGGACTGCACAGACCCATGCAGCCAGCTGGAGTGTCCCAGTGCCACTGTACCAGACAGAGCCCAGCAAAGGGCAGCATGTGAACCTGCTGCCAGCTGCTGCCACGTGCCCATGCACTGGGCCCCTCTGTGTGGCAGCCACACAGGTGCACCCACTGCACGGTGGCAGGAGATGCTGCTACCCTGGGGCTGGTGATACGACCCAGAGCCACAGGCTCAGTGGGTGCATCCGGCCCCCAGCCTGCAGACCCCACTCAGGGCTACACCCCGTCTTCAACAGGAGCCCACGCTTCCCTGTGCCTGTGTGCTGCACTGGCCACACTATGCGGGGCAGTAGTGGGATGCGCAGGGAGCTGCTGCATAGGGTCCGGTTTGGCCAGGGAAGGCGCAGGAGGCCTTTGCCGCAGTGAGAGCCGCTGTCTGCACATACGGAACAGTTCCCCTCTCAGCACACGGGCGGCTCCAGCACCGAGGCCCGAGGCCCCCGGCAGCACCCGCGCAGGCCGCA